TGAGCAGAGTATCTAAGCTCAATTGTAATCAATAGGGATTTAGGAGCTCTATACAGTGGATAACCACATGGATAACCATCATTGGCCATTTGAGATGGTTGGAAGATGTACTGCATGGCATCCACCTGCATGTGGCCTTGTTGAATTTCATGTGGCTGGCATTGGCTCACCTCTCCAGCCTGTCAAGGTCCCTTTGGATGGCATCCCTTCCCTCTTGCGTGTCAACTACTCCACACAGCTTGGTATTGTCAGCAAACTGGCTGAGGATACACTCAATCCCACTGTCCACGTCTCCAACAAAGATGGTGAGCAGCACTGGTCCCAATACTGACCCCTGAGGGACACTCATCACCTGCCTCCACTGGGACACTGAACCATGGACGACAACTGTGTGGCCATCCAACCAATTATTTATCTATGGAGTGGTCCATCTGTCAAATCCATGTCTTGTCAGTTTGGAGACCAGGATGTTGTGTGGGACAGTGTCAAATGCTTTGCACAAATTCAGGTAGATAATGTTAGTTGCTCTTCCACTATCCACCATCTAAGTAGTCTTGTAGAAGGCCACCAAATTGGTCAGGCATTATTTGCCCTTAGGGGAAGAAGTCAATCAGAATTCTTCTTGGTACACCCTGTGAGTGACCAGAATGCTTCACTATTGCTTTTTCCCTTTCCCTCAAATGGGAACCTGAAACCCTTACAGGAAGAGTTGACCAAATATTATCTGTTGGTTTCCCACTTCTCTTAAGTAGCAAAGTCTACGTAGATGACATTTTCTTCCACAGATATGCTTGCCTTTCATGGGAATAATCCTTCTCAAGTAAAGTCTTATTATTTTATGGTCCTAAGGCAGATAACCCTTGAGGGAATGTTTCCTTCTCTCTTTCCAGGTTGTTTTTTGATTTGTTTACTTGCACATTGTACACAGCAAAGCATGAAATTTATTTTTGTTCATGAATCTTCCTGCTGTGATAAAACATTTGCACCCAATTTAGTGTTAGTTAATGACAAGTCATTTATAAATTAATTAAAGTGTTGAAAAGTATAATTTATACTTAGGCTAAGTAGGTCTAAGTATATGTTTTAGAGTTTTTAAGGCTGTTAACACATATTTCACCTGAGAAGAAAAGACTTACTCTGGTGGGTTTTTTTTCACATGAGGTCAACTCTTCTTTCGGAATGCTAATCTTTCCATGACTTTGATTTGCATAGAGGAATTCTGATTAAATCCTGGCTCTTGCTTAGGTACTCCTCTGCAGGCCTGCCATGCTTTGAGGACATCCTTCAGGGCACTACGTTACCAGGCAGGCTAGGTGAATGTTAGCTTTCTCAGCTGAGATACGGAGTTTCTGCTCCTGCTCTAATTCCAGTAAACCTTAAGTCATGTAGCACCATCAGAACCAGCCCCCTTTGGTTCTGCAGCCACAGTTCCTGACATCTGAATGAAGATTAGCTGCTAAAGTTAACTTTTACTTTCACTTAGAAAGTACGGAGTTGCATGCTAGCCTGAGGGAGGTATCTAAACCAATGACTTGGGTGGAAAGCCTGTCCAATGACTTTTTTTATGGATCACAGAGTGTTCCCAGCTGTATAATGCTGGCTCTTGTGGTCAAGGGAAGATAGACAAAGACCTCCGATATTTTGGGAAGACTCTAGATCAATTTTATGTTTGCAGTGAGCGGTGACATATGAGCTGCTGTGAATAGCACTAGGGCTGTTACAAACTCCCAGCCAGCTGGCTGCAAGGTGGCCGAGCCAGCTCATCTTCCTCACAGCCCATGGAACTCCTGCAAGCTGGGAAGGATGGTTCTTCGCTCAACAGGCAGCACAGCAAGGGGATGGGGCAAGGGACCAAGCCACTTCTTAGCGTGAGCTTCTTTGGTGACTTTTGCCTCACTCCCTTTCTAACTTTTCCTACATTTTATTCATCAAGTTTTGCTTATTTTTATTTGTCCAAACTTGGGGTGCTTAGAGGTAGGCACCTATTCCTCCCTCCCCCAGATGTTCTGCAAACTCCATGGGCCGCTTCTCACAGAACAGCCCTTTGTTCCTGTGTGCTGTTCTTCATCTCAGTAAAACAGGGTGATGATGCTTAAATATCATGTAAGCAGAGATCTGGCCACCCAACAGTTCATCTGTATGAGTAAGTCCAGGCTCTCACTCAAATTAAAACTGTTGGAACAGTTTTGGTTCCCAGTGCTTCCCAGTAGTTCCCATGCTGACCAAATGTTTACTTAAAAAGTTTCTCACACAGAAATCCTCACCTGGGAGGAAGAGATCACACCCAAATCCCTGCATTTTTTGTATTTTAGTGTTACACTTCCCAGACCAATGGCAGCTTCCACTGCTTCAAGAGAAAAAGTAACATCTGACCATGGACTGAATTAATACAAATATTAATAGAAATGTCATAGGTGAAAACAGGGTCCTGGCCCTTTTATTTTTACTCTCTTACTGGAGAAAGATAATGGTTAAAGACTGGACCTTTGTCCAAAGAGGTGAAGATGACCAAAAAGGTGAATGCAGATTGCTTAGGCAATGAGAGACAAAGAGGAAAGAGAACTGTTCACTGTCCCAACTCTATCACCTCTGTTTTCTCCTTCTATCTTCTTCTTCTCAGCAGCTCCTTTCTACTACTTCCTCGTTTTTCCCTTCATTTACTCACGTTCTCTGTCCTATCACTTCCAATGCCTTCCAGTACCCATAGAGTCCAGCGTAACATCTGAAACATCAGATGCAGCATAACATCAGCTTCCAGCTCTTCCATTACCACCTCTGCCATGCATGGGTGCAACTGCTGTGGGCTTGGTCAGTGCGGCTGGGGAAGGTTGGTGAAAGTGTCCCTGGATGGGACTGTGGAGAGCAGTGCCTGGCACTGCTCTGTAATTCTGAACTTGGCTGAGCAGCAGGTGCTCGGTGGGGCTGTTTTGGCATGGCCTCTGCACGTGTGATGCAGCCCTTGGGAATCCCAGTCATGTCCTGGGGCTCCAAGGAGCATAACAGAACCTTAACACGAAACAGCACTGGCGCCTGCCGGGACAAGCCCCCAGCCCTACCAGAACGCTTTCTGGGTGCACTGACGCCAAGGACAGCAACCCCGAACACGGTTTTCAGGTCGGCCCACGGCCACCTTGCCCATTCCTGATCTTTCAGACCACGACGCGCCCCAGACGGCCAAAAACCAGCCGCGGGGGAAGGGCAGAATTCCAGGGGGTCACTTCACGGGAGGAAGCGGGGGGCAGGCGCTTTACCCCGCGGGGGCAGCTTGGAGGGGTGTGTGCCG